GGTTCTGGCTGAATGGCGGTGCACCCTTCCGGTGTATCAGCCACTCCTCCCAGTTTTGTATCATCAGTGAACTTGCTGGGGGTACAGTGTCCCTTCATCCAGGTCACTGATGAATAGGTTAAACAAGACTGGACCCAGAGCTGACCCTGGGGAACACTGCTAGCCACAGGCCTGCAACCAGACTCTGCACCGCTAAGCACGATCCTCTGGGCTCTGCCATTCAGCCAGTTCTCAGTCCACCTCACTGTCCACTCATGTAGCCCACAGGAAAAAGTGTTTTTCCCTGCGAGTAGTCAAGAGGCCCTGGAAAAAGCTGGGATTGGAGTGGTACAGCCTTGTCTTACAGAGTTCTGCAGTCTGGGGTCAGGGAGGGTGGCAATGAGCTCTTAACACTGTGTCTGTCCTCCTCCCACCCAGGAGCAGCTCCAGCCGCGACAGGTCAGAGAAGGCTGGCGACAGAGGGGACCGGGAGTCACGTTCAGAGAAGGGCAGTGAGCGCCTGGAGCGTCCTGACCGGGGGGAGCGGGCAGACAGGAACAGGTCTGCTGTCACCAAGAGGAGCTTCAGCAAAGAGACAGAGGACAGGAGCCGAGAACGGGAGAAGCAGGGTGGCTCCGAGGCCGTGCGCAAGGCTGCTAGCATGACGGAGGAACGGGACAGGAGCCGAGAGACCAGTGAGCTGGGGAGGAGCGGTGTCCTGCGCATCTGGCTGCGGCCCAGGGCTCTGCCTGTCCCAGGCAATGCCTGATCCTTGCTCTCTCCTCACAGTTAAGCAAGAGCCAGCACCTCCCGCAGCGTCCTCCAAGCCCACCCTGTCGGAAGAGGAGCTGGAGAAGAAATCCAAGGCGATCATAGAGGAATACCTGCATATCAATGACATGAAGGTGAGAGGAGGGGGTGGCCAGGCACAGCACCAGATGGCCACCATAACACGCCATCCGCTTCCCTGGACAGTAGTGCTGTTGGGCAGGGTGCTGGTGGTCTGTGGATGAGGAAGGAGGGAGCCGAGGCTCGCTGTGGGGCACTACTGAGCCCCCTCTTTTTCCCTGTAGGAGGCCCTGCAGTGTGTGCAGGAGCTGGGCAGCCCCTCCTCGCTCTACATCTTCGTGCAGAATGGCATTGAGTCCACGCTGGAGAGGAGCACCATCTCCCGCGAGCACATGGGGGTCCTACTGTGCCAGCTGGTGAAAGCGGGCACACTGTCCAAGGAGCAGTACTACAAAGGGTGAGGGGCCGGGGCAGCCTGGCCCTGAGCTGGTATTTGCCTGACTTTGAATTCAGCCCTGCCTTGAGCAGAGCTCGTCACTGAGACCTCCCGAGGTCCCTCCCAGCCGAGGGCACGGGGGCTGCTGGATCCCAACAGCCCCCCTCTGCCCTGCAGGCTGCGGGAGATCCTGGAGGTCGCAGAAGACATGGAGATTGACATCCCACACATCTGGCTGTACCTGGCCGAGCTCATAACCCCCATCCTGCAAGAGGAAGGCATCCCCATGGAGGAGCTGTTCAGGTGAGGACTGTGCCTCTCTCCAAGGCTGCCACGGGGTTCCAGGGGGCTCCTGGGGGCAGGTAGCTCAACCAGGTCTCTTGTGACCCGCAGGGAGATAACAAAGCCCCTGGTGCCCATTGGGAAGGCCACCACACTGCTGGTTGAGGTGCTGGGCTTGTTGTGCAAAGGCATGGTAAGTGCATGGGGCTCATGTAGCTGCCAGCCGCTGCTGTGGGGGCTGGCAGCCTGCTCAGGGGGGCAGGTTGGCATGTGGGGATTGAACCCCTCTGCCACCAGAGGGGATGGCAGGGCACATCCCTTGTCCTGTCTGGGCCGTGGGGGTGGCGTGGCCAAGCCACAGTATCCCGCTCCCTGGAGATGGAGGGCATGGGGCGCTGATGCTGACTGTCTGTCCTGCAGAGCCAGAAGACGGCAGGCAAGCTGTGGCGGGATGGGGGCCTGAGCTGGAAAGAATTCCTGCCTGAGGACCAGGATGTCAACAAATTTGTCACAGAGCAGGTGGGAGCTCAGCGGTGGTGAGGGGCAGAGACGGGCCGTGGGGGGACCCTGGCGGGTTCTGCTGCCGGAAGCGTGGTGTTCCCCATGCTGCCTTTTAATAGCTTGTCTCTGCCTGCTCCCCCAGAAACTGGAGTACACGATGGGGGATAGCTCGGACACGCCGAGCCGTAAGGAGCTTACCTCGGAGGAACTGTGCAAGCAACTGGACAAACTGCTGAAAGAGAACCCGAACAACCAAAGAATATACGACTGGATTGAGGTGAGGATGTGGGTGCAGTGCCTGCAGGTCTGAGGAGATCCCTCCTGGCTCCCTCCCCACCTCACAGCCCCTCTCCCCTCCCTTCTCCAGGCCAACCTGAGCGAGCAGCAGGTCTCGTCCAACACGTTTATCAGGGCCCTGATGACGTCTGTGTGCCACTCGGCCATCATCTGTGAGTACCCGGGTGAGGTGGGAGGTGGTGGTGGGGCCCCCTTGCCCACACCACCCGCTCACACCACCCACCCCTCCCTCATACCCATCTCCCACAGTCGAGAACCCCTACCGCGTGGACGCCCTGGTCATCCGCAACCAAGCCAAGCTGCTGCAGAAGTACCTGCGGGATGAGCAGAAGGAGCTCCAGGCGCTCTATGCCCTGCAAGCCTTGGTGGTGAAGCTGGACCAGCCTCCCAGTGAGTGTTGTGGGACGGGTGGGCTGAGGAGGGGGTGGCAGGCGTGTCCCCACCCTAGCAGGGTGGTTGGTGGCTGAGGAATAGCAAGGGCCCCCCTTTATCCCCCCTCAGACCTGCTGCGGATGTTCTTTGATGCCCTCTACGATGAGGACGTCATCAAGGAGGAGGCTTTCTACAAGTGGGAGTCCAGCAAGGACCCGGCCGAGCAGCAGGGCAAAGGGGTGGCTCTCAAATCGGTGACGGCCTTTTTCACCTGGCTCC